AATGAAAAGTGGTTTGTAGCCCTAGAGAGGAAAATGGTTTTGAAATATAACTGTGGGCAAACAGAAGATGCAAATAGGTATCGCCTCCCAAGCACCAGCCACACAACAGGCAAATAAAAAAAATCTGAGCCACTTGGATGCAAACACAGAGGTGTGTATATAATTTTAGCAAAACGGTGACCCAGGAAAAAGTGACCCAGTCAGAAACGTTACATATAGAATGATCCTGAATTCTCACGAAGAGAGAAAAAGGGGGAGAGAGAGTTTTCCCGAGTGCAGCACTGACTGAAAAGAGAGGCTTGGGTTACTGCCAAAGGAGCTGTTTCCTATTGTCTTTTTTCATGCTACATTCAGGGAAACAGGATCTCAGTTTAATCCCACTTTGATTACAGAGAATGTACACAAAGATATATCACTTCATATCAACATTTTTGACAGAAATAAACCAGAGGAGCTCAAATATTGGCCAACCATTAAAATAAAAAGTTATGTAACTTCTTTCATGTATACTGAGAGATACAGAAAAAAAAAACCCAGAAAAATTCTGCAAGATATCAGACTTTCGGCATTCAGAATATGTCATCCAAGTTTGTTTTTAACTTAACGAATGAAACAAATAGTACGAATATAAGGAAACATACCATCTCACAATACACAGGTGAAACTCTTTCTGAAAATAGTGTGGAGAATGGAAAAAATTATCATCACATTACCTTGAAACTTAAAAATCTCTATTACATTCCTCCCTAACCCCAAATCCATGTATTATCCTAGTCAAATCACTGAAACCCTAAATTCTCAGTACTTACCTTCATAGCTCCTTCTGAAATCACCGCCTAAGGCTTCTCACTGTTCTTCCTTATATTTCACATCGCTGAAAGCTATAGTGCTACGAAGCAGTATGAAACTCTGATTCTACACAAGTCAGAGACCTTGAAGTTCTTAACCTCAAAAATATTTCTTAAGCATTTTCCTGCATTCATTTATTTTTGATGCCTCAAACAAACAAAAGCCCATAGTGCACATGCAGAAAGATTGCCAATGGCTTAAGCAATGCAGCTGAGCAAGACAGTACCCTCAACTCACACAGGTAACCAAAAGTCTCTCCTAATGTTTACTTTTCCAGAACAGGATTTCATGGGAAATTCTGAACGTGTCTCTCTCTCAATTCTGTTTCGGAATAGAGAAAGAAAGTGCAGACTCCTCCAGAAAAGGGAAATCTGGTTCTTGCCTAGCTGAAGTTATTACCAACTTCAACTGACCTGAGCCAGACACCCCTGGCAGGAAAAAAGAAAATTTACCTGGTGCATTTCCACTATCCAGCCTAAGGCAGTATTTGCTTACACATTGTAATTATCGACAAAGGCACTACTGATTTTAACTTTTTTCCTCAAATAATGTTCAGTTCTGGCACCGGGTTATTTAATACAGTTGTGCAGAACACAACTGAGAAGAATGGGGCTGGTAAGAGGTGCTCTTGTGATGGAAGAAAAATGCTTTTCTCAGGCATTAATCTTGCTTATATCTTGTACTTACAGTCTATCACGTGGAGAGTTGGGCTGCTGTCAGTAGGCAGCCCGGGATAGCTGGCTTTCCATACTGACCCATGTAGTTTTCTGAGATGCAGGTTTCTCACTCTGAAAGGCCAGTCCTCAATCATGTAAGCAGAACAAGAGAGACATCCAGCGGCTGGACCATTTAAGTGTACTTTTTAACCTAACTAGAGACAAACTCAACTATGTTGTTACCCAGTCCACGTTCTTGCATGTCTCAGAAACCATTTATGAGCCAACCACCAGACATACAGAACCAAAGGAAAAATTATTCCAGTGGCTGAAGCGCTACTGTCATCTCTGATGGATGTTTTTCCTGCAACCTGCCTCGCTGCATACTCCAAGTCCCATCCGTAGTTCCCCCTTTTTCTCTGAAGGTTAACTTCATTATTTTGATTCTCAGCTCCTATGAACTGGTACAGGTCTATTAACTTCCATAGAGCTATTACGATTTGTGTCAACCCAGAATCTCATTCTAATTGTTTGCCATTCAGACAGGTACTTTTCACACCTACTATCTTCTATTCAAATGTTTTCTCTAACCTTAACTCTCTTTGTACTACTTATTTTTATCTGCACAGTAAATAGACTTCCCAGTCATTACTGATATAAAATTCCAGAGAATCAGTGGTAAATCCTGGTATTAAGTGGTTTGATGTTCATATAAGAGCAGGGAGAAAAAGATTATTAATTTTACTAATATAAATTAGTAGTATCTATAGTATTTGTTATTTAAAAAATCCGTATATTTACTGTCACATCTAAACTATTTCTTGTAATTAAAAAACATTTTGAAACATAAATCAGCACAAAAGGGCTTATAAATTCAAAAATCTGAAGACAGGATGAATAGAAGGGAAACACAGGGATAAACTTTTTGACAAAGTATTAGCAATATGAATTTAGAAGTAATTTATTTACAAAAAATCAACTTTGTCGCTGCTACAAGTTAAATAATTCCTTTTTTAAAGGACTTGACCCTTACTAACTTCAAAAATCTGTATGAAAAGTTCTGGTAAGACAGTAAGGAATGGCTTAATTCTTCCATATTTAGTGAAGAATCGAAGGCAGGCAAATGCATAGGATGCGGTGCTAGGGATACAATTAAAGGCTATGAGCAAATTTCCCAGCTTATAAAGAGAAAACTGTATGCAGCCAACGGGTGCAAATACAGGTAAGATGATGTGATGACCCAAAATTAGCAGGATATGCTACTTATAAGAAAAATTACAAACCCAGTATAAGAAGAAATTTGGTTCCCTTCTTACCACATACACATATGGAATATCCATCACAAATAACCAAACATATCAAGCTACAACAGAGTTATTCCTAATATAAAAAAACCCCAAAACATCAGAAGAAGGCTCAACTCTTGCACTGTGCCCTCTGCTAAAATATTTCACTCTACTGTGCATTTCCTTGCAAGGTTTTTTTAACTGTGCTGCTATAAAAACATTCACCCCAAACAAAAAAAGAAAAAAAAAAAAAAAAAAGAGAGAAAAGTAGAGAAAGAAGTGTCCACAAGGCACTTCTTACTGCTGCTTTACAAGAACTGTTTGGTATAGCTTTCATATCAACATTAATTCCATGCTTGAATTAAATAAAACAGTTCTTGTCTACCAGATGTCCACTGGGGTTGATTTTAATCACTAACATCATTAGAATCTACTTTCAGAGACTGTAAATAATCAATATATTCATAGACTTCTGGATATGCCCTACTGTGACTGAAAAATGAGAGCAAATAGTTTTCCCTTATGATTTCAGACCATATTTGAGGTCACTGGAAAACCAGACAGGGTCCATGAAGCAACAGAACTGTATCAATAGAAATCAAAAGCTGAAATCAGGATCTCAGGTTCTGAAAATCAAGTGTAGCCTCTTTACCAATAATCTTTGGACAAAGATCTAGTTCTTCAAATATTTTATCAAAACATTGCTCTTCTTCTTGTGTTTTTAAAGGAGGTATCTAAGCAAGGCAGAGCAGATGACATTTGGAGAATTATTAGACATGTGGTAGACCTATTTTTCAGTTTGAAATCTTTTTTAAAAGAGGATGTCTCTATCTCGGACTTGCTGTAAGGCAGAGTTGTTCATGTTGTCTAACCTTAGGGATCTGTCTCGGTACTGATGTGGCACACCCCAGTCAGCAAACCCTTCACCCTTAGGCAACTGAGAATACCTAATGGAGGAGCTTATATTCTCCCTGCTGACTATGTATGTGAGGGCTATTTGGTTTCAGTATCGTGTCCTGTGTTTATAAGTGATCAAACAGTAACAGCTGTTGGTGAACAATATCCACAATTAATTTATGCAGGTGGAGGTCCGTGGCACCGATCTGCGATGTACAGCTTCATCTCAAGCCTCATTAGCAGTGGCAACCCAGTTGTCAGCAAGCCTCACTCCTTGACTAGTCTGGGGAGGGATGTTGAAGTTGAACTAATGTTGTTAGCTAATTCCAGGGCCTCGTGTAGTGGTTGGACCATACAGGTGGTGAACTATACATGTATTAAAAGTCTAAGCAACACTTGAGTGTCTTAAAAACCCATGTCAGAAAGCTATTACATACAAAGCAAGCCACCCAAGCAAACAGCAATTTAGTACACGGCACAGGCACAGAAGGATGTGGATTGTCTGACAAATTACAGAAATTACATTACTCCTATTTCCTCCACAGCAAATCCTTCACTGATGCCTTTAGAGCAATACTTTGTAACACACTGAGCTACAGCCCATCTAGCATACATCTGCCACCCCTCAAATTAGCTTTGATCAGTGTTAAATTAAGTATCCAGTTGCCTCACTCAAATGACCTAAGTTGAGGATTTGTCCATCTGCCGAATCCTGAACAGTGGCCTCAAAAATCAGAAACACAAAACCACTTCAGCTTCTAAGCATCTAAAGGCAAATCCCAGGCTTTTTGCCCATTCACAAAAGGAAGCTCTATTGTCCACACAGGTATTAGGAGAGAATAAATCTAGCACACGTTTTAAGATACAGTCTATTAGATGTCAGAATAACACTGTAGCGATGATTTGGGTCTTACTAGCTAACAATTTGGTAATGAAACACAAAGTCATTGCATATTCCAACCCTGGCACTAGCAGTTCACGTCGAGGTCATACAGTTCAGCAAGATATTCAGGATACATCTTCCGTAAGGCAGCTTTGTCTGCCGGCAGACTTCAGTTCAGCATTAAGTGATGGGCAAATGGCAACTGAATTCCTAACGATCTCTCCCAGTGGCCACAGGACAATTAGTGTTCGTGATTAAACAAACAAAACTGGACTGCTCTGAGCCGTAATTACTAGTCAGCAGTGGCCCTTCCTGGAATGTACATCGACGAAAACTTCCAAGCGTTAACAGCAACCTGAATGCTGATTTTTCTTTTGTACAATAACCCTCTTTCATCAGTCTGGTCTCATGAAAATCATGAAGTCTTACCTAACTGCTGTACTCTGAAGATCTAAAGTCCCTCAGATTACTGCTCCGTTGGGGGGAAAAAGTGACACTATCTGGAAGTGATGCTCGGTTTCTTATGAACTTCTTTCTTTCTTTCTATACTTACTCCTGTGGAAGATTAGAGAAAAATGCATGTGAATTTTGTTGTATTAGAAGAGTTATTAATTATCAACAGGGTAATTAATGGAATTTTCACCTGTATATCATTAGGTAGATGGATACCAGACAGTAACTTGAAATTATTATTACTTTCTAGTTATCTTAAAAGTATTACTAATTTTTTTTAATTTAAAGGTTAAATCAACAAATTACTAACACTAATTAATCAATTACTTATTCAGGTCTAAACATATTAGCAAAACATATTCTAGTATACCTATATGAAAAATAAAGAAAGGAAAATAAACATTTGAAATCTGTTGGGCTTTTTTTCCTTAGCCTCCATCTTATTTCAGAGACTGTGGTACTAGGTAAGAATTCACTGAAAACCAAAGAACTTAAAAACAGTGATCTGCGTATGGCAAGAGCTCGCCCCTGATTTTATGCAAACATGTAAGAAATACCACTCTCAAAGAGTTTGGCCCTATTGTAACTGGCAATGCATTGTTGTTTTTCACACCACATATTCTTTGCACTGAGGACCTTGTTTCCATCAACAGCCCTCAAACACGGTGATGGAGTAGCTATTATTGTCACTCAACTCTCCATATAGAAAACGGTAGGAAAAAACGATATCCAAAGTTTCACCAGCACTTCACAGTTAAAACAGAGCAATAACTCAAATGCCTTGACTTGATGTTTTGTACTTCTCCAACAAATATTCCTCCACTTGTAAGTTCAAGGAACAACACAGAAGAATGGCTGAGGCAGCCAACCAAAACTTTAAACCCAAAACAGAAGTATGTTAGCAAAGCGTCACTATCACAGCTCACATCAACTTTGTTACAAAGTTCCCTTGTTAAGAACTTCTTCCTAAATGTTGTTATTATTAGACAACCTTTTCAACGCAAGATGGTTCTTCAAGAACAGTATTAACGAGTGAAACACATAGAGAAGGAAATGTCTGAAAGCACCCTGGTTTTGGGATAAGATTGCAAGCAGAGTATTTTACCACTAGAGGACAGTATAATGTAGCCTCTTGGACATACTACATTTGGCAGAGAAGACTCACGGCTTCAACCCTGTTTAGAAATCTGACAACCTGAAGACAGAGGACTCTGTGTAGTAAAGCAAGGAGAAAAAAAAATGGCACGTTACTGATCTACTGGGACATAGGTAGGAGCATCAACATACAATGATAACCTTGGGTGTGAGCACACTTGCAAGCACCAGGCAGAGCCGACGAGGTGTCTTTGCTTCTCTGTCAGGCTGGGGGTTAAGAAGCAGCCCTAAAGACTCCTAACACTGTTCAGTTGGCACAAATCCTAAAGTGCTCTCTCCTTTTTACTGGTCCTGTTACTCAGCCAAAATGGCATCAACTTTGATGGGAAAGTTGCCCAACTGAGAACTGAGTAAAAACTGGAGAAAGACTTCAAACAGTTGACCTGTTAAGAGACTATGCACAGAACTGAAGGGATCAATGAGTTTTTATAATAAAATTGATAATAAAATTAATAAAGAAATGTCAGGGGATAATTATTGTTCTTTATTCTTTACTGTCATTACCTTCTTATTGCATCATATGACACAACTCTGATCCCATTTAGGTTTCTGAATCAAGTCACTGGCTTCAACGTCCAGGCTCCTCTCAATTTCTGACTGAGATGAGCCTCTTTCCTCAGGGCCCAGGTGAAGTGAGCTTCACAAAATCAACGGGGTGTAGCAGGTATCTATCTGCATTGCGCAAGGGCAGCAACGCGTACTTTGGCAATAACAGCACCAGAAGAACTTAGGACTGGAATAAGAGAGTGACACAGGTAAGCATGGTCTTGGGTGTGAATGAGAGATGCATGCAGACATACAGCAGAATTTGGTTGTGTCCTGTTAACATTATTTAATGACCTAATTAGCCTATCTTAATGAAAAATATGTACCACAGGAACATAACATGCAACTATGAAAATAAGCAAATCAAACTGCCAGAAGAAATAGACCCTTATTAAGATGCAGATGACTTGGGCAGCGGCCGGAAGGGAGAAGAGCTATTTAACTACTCCACACTTTGACGGAGACCAGGCTGTGACCATGGTCAAGCTGCTACAATCACCTATGTCTATGTAAGAAATGAGAAGGTGCTTACCTAGCTGTGAGAACTGTAAGTAGAAAGCACTGGATAAAGAGTAAAATCTTACTATATTACACCTGGAAAAAGGAAGGCAAGGAACCGCTGTACCTGATGGAACTACAGTTCAGGGAAAGGTCGTGAGATGCACAGGAAAGGGGTGAACAGGCTGGCTGTGCAGCCACTGGAGTCCAGGAGGGCTGACTGACAGCACAAGGAATAGCAGATTTGAGTTGAATACCTGGAAGGGACAGACATCTGTGCAGCACCATGGGCCATTTGCAGCATCTCCTGCAGCAACAGTGCCCAGGGCACAACGGAGAAAAGGACAGTGAGATGACTGCATCAAAGAACAACAGTGTCATACAGAAAATTTCAGGTTGGTTGTGGTTTTTTTTTTTTTTTTCCTTCTTTCTATCAGTGAATAAATTTAGATTCATTCCAGTCTAGCACAGCACACTCTCCCAGAGTTTAGAAGCAATGAGATATCTGTTCAGCCTGCTACAGAAAGAGGGATCTGAATGGGGGTCCGGAGGCACTCAGAGCTCAGTCTGTGTTCTGAGCAAAATGACCACATATAACCCAGCAATTCCCGGAAGAGTTAGTTACACCCTTTTTCCTGCTGCTCTGCACCAAAACAAGGTGTATTTTCACAAACATCTCTTTCAGCAACAGTGCTGGCTTTAATAGCTTGTTCCCTCTAGCTTATTCCCACCTTACACCACAATCTTATTTGTGCCAGGACAACTGCTGGTACGGCACACGTTGAACTGTATTGAGGAAAATAACTCTCCCATGCCCACCCCCCCAAAAAAGATTTTTTTAAAAACTGAATTAGTTTCCCCATCTAATTCACTGTGCAGTCACACAAACTGTTATACTGGTGCAAGTGAATATGCGGGTAAAGGTGGGAAGCAAGTAAGCATGAACAGTGACTGGATGGCAATGCTGTGTGAGAGAAGCATTTGTGAAACCACAGCCTCAGTGGAGGCTGAATCTGATCATTAATTGCTGC